AAGGCAGGAAGTGAACAAACCACTAAAGTACACAACTTTGGCATGTACCTAATCTTATATTTTACCAGCAGACAATAATGAAATGGGACGTCCTATTGAGATGAGGTGCGTTATTACTTTTTGAACCAATGAGACGTGTGATTTTTATTTTGGTGACAATAAAATGGATAGGAAATGCATTAGACTTGCATAAACAGAGCAACCACTTATATATTGGGACAAGCATATCAGTGATCCCCTTAACACCTGAACTTAATAAGCATTTCTTATCAGGACAGTATCTGGATATTTTCTTGCATTTTCTTGGATATTGTCTGGATTTCAGATTGAAGTTCATTACAATGTCTCTTTATCTAATCTGAAATAAATAAATAAAAATAATCTGTAATTTACCAAATTTTAAGAACAGTGATTGAAATTTTAGTGTGTGTTTTCTTTCCAGTGTTGACATTGTTAACTAAAACTAAAAGCACACTGTTAATTGAAATAAAGCTGAAATCAAATCAAATATAAATAAAATGTATTAGATAAAAGACTTTAAACAAAAATTAAATAGAAATGTTGCCTTGGCATCTAATTGAAAGTTTAAGTTAAAGTACTAAAATTACTAACTCAAAACTAAAACGGAAAACTAGAACTATATATGAAAAACTAATAAAATGACAAGCACATAACAAAATTATTACAAATATATTATAGTAGTATATAGTATATAAACTATGATGATAAATAAATAATACCAAAATATCTCGCTTTCTTACAAGCTCCTTAGTAAAGTATATAAATAGAAATGAGAAGTGAAGAAAAAGATAGCAAAGTTTTTAGAGCACAATTTTTGGGGAAATAAAAGAAAGAAACAATAATCCAAGTGAAATTCAGTTAAATAATTATATAAATAATTGGATATATTTTGAATATATCGGATGAGGAAAAAAAATTAAGTGCAGTGTCTATTGTCTTTCACACTGCAAGATCAGAATAAAAAATAAAGTCAAGAGGGAGCAAAAATGTGATTTAACTCCATTAAAATCAGTAAAGTACAGTAACAGTGTACAGTAGAGTATACAGTATTTGATTATTTGCATACTGTAATACTTACATAGCTTAATGCAGATCATGAAAACTCATTTGCATGCACCATTAAATGTAGTGTAAAGAGGGCAGATAGAGCATAGAGGGCTTTTTTTATATGGGTCGGTAAGCAACCCCTTACTGTACATCACCTAGCAATGCACTAGCTGCAATTCAAAACACCTTGCAACCAATTAGAAAATACTGGAAATCTGTCAGGCCAACTCTGAGATTGTAGTAGCATATTTTACACAAGCACAAAAAGTTAAAATATAGTTTTTAGGTTTAACTTTCTAAACCTGAGACAAGACTCAATTCACAACCCTATAGGGCCTACAGACGTCACACTGACTTAATGCATAAAAATGAGAACTCAGTTGCAAGTGGATGTGTTTGATTGAGTGACCCACATCGAACAAAAATACGGGCCACTCAGCCATCAAGGACTTACTCCACAGGCACTTCTCATATACAGTACGAATCTATTCTCGAGATGCTTTTTAAAGTAATCAAGTTCGAAGAAAGCATCCGAAACAAGACCACTCCATCCACTCTGGAAACTGGACAATGCTCACACCGCACATGATCTCCATGGAAACAGAGAGGAAGAGTAGGACACTCCAAGCGGCCTTCTCCTCCCTCTCCGCTTTCATGTGGAAATGGATCCCACTGTTTGAGAGAAGAATGAGATGGAGGGAGGAAGCCACAAGAATGAGGCTAAAGAGAGAGATGATGAGGGGGAAAGAAATGGAGAAGGAGATGGCCCCTTCACCGCAGGATGTCTTGCAAGTGGCCCCGAGTGCTCCTACTGTTTCCTGAAGAGCTCCAGGAATAGTCATCCTCTCCGCTGATCCTCTATGACAGCTGTGCCACAAGGGTTTTCTTTGTTTGTCTACCAGAGTTTATTTTCCAGAGTAATTTTGTCATAGCGGAGAAAAGGTTAGAAAACAAGTCTTCGGTTCTCTGAGACGTTTATGCTTTATGATGTTTGCAAGTGAACGTCTGTTTTCAAAATGTGATTTGTAGTGATCTGTAGATGTCAGGAATGAAAGAGGAAGCGGTGGGAAGATGAATAGAAGCAACGTTTCAAATGACAGCATAACAAGACCAACCTTTGAGCACATAAGAATACATTTGATATTTTTGACGTGCAATACTTTTTCTTCCTAGGTAAGGGCTTTTAAAAGTAGATGCATCACACAAACACGCGCACACACGCTGACAACATTGTGTTTGGCAGAGAGCTGAGTAGGTGTCTGATTTCAGCTAGTGTTTCAGGCCGCCGCAGGATATCTTTACTGTCAATGTGTTTGTGTACCTGTGTGTGATACTAGAAGCTGTACTAGCGTGTGTCAGAGCGATGCCCTCACCCGCAGCCCTGATTTCAAATCAACTCACTGAGAGAAGAGGGTGATGGGATGTAATAGAGGACAAGATGCGGGACAGGCGAGATGGCGATTTTCTAATGCCAGTCTGTGTTTAACGGAGCTGCTATATCAGACTCAATACAGACATTCATACCTCAACAGACACAAGCATCTGTGAAATAAAACTGATGCTGATGGATGCTGGGAGAGTAAACATCTGTGTGATATCACTGATGACATCACTGCATCAAAATGCAAAAATGGCAGTGCATAAGTAAATGGGGGAAAAAGGTGACAGATTCAACGATGATTTACCGTCAACAGTTTTCAAAGGCTCCTGCTGTAGAAGTTAAATAAAGTAATTTATTTTAATGCAGTATAAAATAGGATGAAATGATTAAAGGGCCACAATGAAAAATCGAAATAAATGATCTTTAGAATTAAAAGTGTTCACTGTACTATGAAATCAGCTGTAACTCTTAGAAAGGACATTAATAACAACACTAAACTACAAAAATGGCTTGAAAATAAAATAACACAATACAAAATAAAATATTGCCACTGCCACAAAATAACATTTAAATAAATGGCTGTGAAAAACATGTAGTTGAAAATAATATAAAAGTGTTCACTGTACTACAAAAACAGCTATAATTTACAACGGAAAAATGTCTCCAGTCCAAGGACTGTTTAAAACAGAGCGACCTTGGAAACTGCGAGAAACATTAGAGTCTGTGTCTTAAATGTTTCATAACACGATCATACAAATCCCATCTGCACAAAACCTACACCAAACAACCAACTTCCCTTCATGATATACTACACATACTCAACAAATTACCAGTCTTCACATCTGCTCAGTTTTCAACATGTTGTCAAGGAAACCAGCACAGGTGAAATTAGAACAGCTATTCGCCAAAACGAATGGTATAAATAAATAAAATAACCACGATAATTGCTAAACTCCTGTACTAAACTCATTGAACATGCTTTAGAAAAGGCAAAGAGCAAATTGCACATCAAACATTTATATAATAAAATGTTCTTTTGTTGTCAAAATTCGGCTGACTCGCACATTTCAGTGTGTTCCTGCACGAGTTGTTACTGTTCCTGCTTGAATTTTTCAGAAAAAGACAGACACTCCATCCACATACATTCATAATTTAGCCACAACCTCTAGCAGCCACAGGCAACATGCCTCCAGTTGTTACAGACATGCACAGCTCCACAGCACACATTCACACAGCATATTCCAGCAAATATAAACTCCAGCTCACATACAAACACATGGTCAATGCTCTGTCTATCTATCTATCTATCTATCTATCGCTGGTTCAACTTTTTTTTTTTTATGGACAGCCTCACATTCTCCTTAAGCACTCCTTGGCATAATGTGAAATTCATAGTTGACTTTAGAATGTCCCTGATGCAGCAGAACACCTCCTCCATCACTGTGCTTAGAGTTCTCTTCCTGTTCCTCGTGTAGGTGTTGGATGGCAAACTCCAATCTTACCTTCATAATCTTTTTTTAAGAGCAGAACCTTGCTTTGCTGACCTTACCAGATTTGTGTAGTCTCTTTCTAACTGTTAACTGGTGCACATTCACAATGACTGTTTCCAAAGCTGCCTTTAGATCCCATACACTCTGGGGTCCTTGAAGACATCCTAAAGCATCTTGCACTCTGCTCTTGAATTTGGTGGGACAGCCCACTTTGGACAGATTATGCAGTTAATGCAGTGATAATGGCATGCTCTCAGAAGTCAGAAATTTTGAATTCCGAGTTCCCAGTAACTGGAATCCAAAACAGCTGCTCAGAGCATCAACAGTAAGTGAAACAGTAGTAACAGTATCTCAAACTCAATGGTGCACACAGCAGGCTACTATTCAACCTCTGTAGACATAATACTTTGGCATTATCTGTACAAAATACCAGTTCAATGTATTTTATCAACTGGTATTGCTAACAATGGATGGGACATGTCCATCTTGATTTTTCGACTTGTTTACTGGAATGTGGTCAAATTGTGAAGAAGAAAAAAATACCTCTGAGGCAGGGGTCCTATAGCTAACTTTACACTTTGAATAATTATTTCTAATGTGTTGCTCTGAGACGCACAAGAGTTCTGCTTTAGCTTTGTTTGGAATTAAACTATGGATATATTTTTCTTTCATAACTTGAATTATAGGAACATTCTAACTCCGTTCTAATAGGCTTCATCACACAGTGAATGCTTTTGGACTCTCAAGACGTGTTTTTCTTGCAAAGTCAGTGACATGCTCGATAATGCTGATACCTTCTGATTACTTTTTTAAGAACGTCAAAAGTTGGCTTGAACCATTTTGCGTGAAAAATGACGAAAACATGCATGAGCTTGTGAGCAGCTCGTTACAATATTGAGTTCTGATTGGCCAATCACCATTACTTAGTTCATCAATTATTTTATTTTTTTTAGTGTTAATGCATAAAATCTGCCATTACTTAATTGCAAATATTTTTTTTTTTCTGTATGCGTTTAAGTATTTTACAAAATTAATGAACAGAGGTATGATAAATTACTCACCAGTTTACAGGTGTAGTGTTGCAGCGAAGATCTAATTGAGTGTTTAATGAGCTGTGTGTGACAAGTTCTGCAGCATTCTCACGTCTTTCCGAAACTTCAACATGGCCTGAGAATCAAACATGGAAAACATACAAAAATAAATCACATTTAATGCAATGCGAACGTAAATAACCATTCAGTTCATGCAAAGTGTGCAATGACTCCAAAACTCCAAAAAACTGGTTCTTAATGTTTTGTGTTTAATTTGTATCTTGAAACAGAAAGGGCGGAAACAAACACACAAATGGCTAATAAACAGCTGAAAAGAGCAACATATGAGATTTCAACACATAGTTCATTAGAAATACAGCAAACAAATCCACATAGAGAACAATAGCTCTGGAACTGGGAAGAGCCAACCTGAATTGTGCAGTTATAAATCAGGATTTAAGTGTGAAAGCTCCCAAAAGATTAGGAGAATGAGTATAAGTGAGGTGAATTAAGAACCTTGCTTGCCAGCCCATATTTACAAAACTAATTAAATTCACACTATTAAATCAAACATATCAGATAGAAAGTACTTAGCATTTTTATAGCTTATGCTCTCAAACTTTAACAGATGTAATTGTCAGAGAAGGACTCAAATCCCCATTGGTTTTAATTGCTCTATTATTAATTCTGGCTGGGCGAAAGGCTGACGCAATTGAACAGTACATTAGACAGAGAGGGGTCATTTGGCTGTGTCTGCCGATACGTCAAATCCTGACAATAGTTGCCTGTAATGATTTCACTGTATTTAACTCCTATCACATATTGATAAAGAAGTGCTATATATATATATATATATATATATATACACACCTCTACTGTAGGATGCCAGTGTTATGACAACCTGCCATTTTAAATGTATCATATTATAGTGTGTGTGTGTGTGTGTGTGTGTGTCTGACTTTTCTAATTTCTTTAAACAAAAAAAGAAAAGAAAAAAGAAACTGAAACTTATTTATTTATATTTATGGCTTTGGTTTTAAAAATACAAAATGGTTCATGAAAAATCATGTTATTTATAAAAAATATTGTAAGTAAGTAGCCTACCATTTTAATTCAACAAAATGTACAGTGGTGGTATTATGGTATCATATGGTAGTGCCATGATAGTTTAATATATAAAAAATAGTGCTGTCAAACGATTAATTGCGATTAATCGCATCCAAAATAAAATATTTTGTTTACATAATATGTGAGTGTGTACTGTGTATATTTATTATGTATATATAAATACACACATATGCATGTATATATTTAAGAAAAAATATGTTATGTTTATATTTTAAATATATTTATATATAATATAAATTATATGAATATAAATATATACAAGTAAATACATGTAAATATTTTTGAAACATGCTGTATTTGTATGTATTTCTATATACATAATAAATGTGCACAGTGCACACACATATATTATGTAAACAAACTTTTATTTTGGATGCGATTAATCGCAATTAATCGTTTGACAGCACTATTTTTTATATATTAAACTATCATGGCACTACTGATTGATACCATAATACCACCACTGTACATTTTGTTGAATTAAAATGGTAGGCTACTTACTTACAATATTTTTTATAAATAACATGATTTTTCATGAACCATTTTGTATTTTTAAAACCAAAGCCATAAATATAAATAAATAAGTTTCAGTTTCTTTTTTCTTTTCTTTTTTTGTTTAAAGAAATTAGAAAAGTCAGACACACACACACACACACACACACACTATAATATGATACATTTAAAATGGCAGGTTGTCATAACACTGGCATCAAACATATCAGATAGAAAGTACTTAGCATTTTTATAGCTTCGCCATGCATTAATGCCTGTGCGGGCATTTGTGAGCATTCAGAGGTTTTGCTCTCTGCAGGTTTGAGTGTTGCAGGCTGTCTGGAGATAATTAAGACACTGGTGTCCCCTTCATGTTTCTACACTAATGACACAACATGCCACACCATATGGCCTTATCGCCTGGGTCCACCATGGATCACTGTTCCTTGAACCCTCCATAACAGGGCAAAGCGTGTGCCCACATACACATTGCAAACACACTAATAAACACACACACACATCTTTGTACAATGATAATGACATAATGAATACAATGTAAACATTACAGCATATGATATGACAATCGTTCAAAACCATGTTTTTTTATTAGTGCTGTCAAACGATTAATCGCGATTAATCGCATCCAAAATAAAATATTTTGTTTACATAATATGTGAGTGTGTACTGTGTATATTTATTATGTATATATAAATACACACATATGCATGTATATATTTAAGAAAAAATATGTTATGTTTATATTTTAAATATATTTATATATAATATAAATTATATGAATATAAATATAGACAAGTAAATACATGTAAATATTCAAAATATGTACTGTATGTGTGTGTATTTATATATACATAATAAATATACACAGAAACCTTATTACCGTATTGCGTTCTTTCAAAGCTGCTCTAAAGCACTCCGATCCTCTCTATTCTCTGTCCTATTGCCTGACCAGTGGCCTAATGTTCAAAACTCTTCTTACAGCTGAATAAATCCGAGCCTGTCTTCTTATTATGTGAATATTTCTCTTTAAACTCAATCCAAGCGTTAAGATGAAAAGTCCCGTGCAGCCTTTAAGATAAGAGATTGCACACATTTGCTACTTCAGAGAGAAAGTACATGAAACATTTACTGTGCTTGTCTATGCACGACGAAGTAAGCTCCATGTGACAAACTGCTAGTTTAATGAAAAATAAATGTTTGCTAAAATCATGCTTTGTGATTTCTCTCTTATTCGTAGAATAAATGTGGGCCTTTGTGCTTTGAACTCTCAAAAATACAAAGAAGAAAATATGTACTGTGTGCATTGTTTTAAAGACATTTTTCATTGCACAACAGCTATAGAAAACAGCTACTTAATATGTGATGTTGTATATTATGATAAATGTGTCTAAGTGTTACCTTCATTTTAAATGTGTAAATGAGAATCAGCATCTCAACTACAAAAATCAGTCTCTAATCAGCTCTGATATTTGAGCGCTCCACTCGTATTTAATAGAATTTTAACATTCAAATCAATCACTTTAATTAATATTTTTAGGCATTAATGCTCTCAAACTTTAACAGATGTAATTGTCAGAGAAGGACTCAAATCCCCATTGGTTTTAATTGCTCTATTATTAATTCTGGCTGGGCGAAAGGCTGACGCAATTGAACAGTACATTAGACAGAGAGGGGTCATTTGGCTGTGTCTGCCGATACGTCAAATCCTGACAATAGTTGCCTGTAATGATTTCACTGTATTTAACTCCTATCACATATTGATAAAGAAGTGCTATATATATATATATATATATATATATACACACCTCTACTGTAGGATGCCAGTGTTATGACAACCTGCCATTTTAAATGTATCATATTATAGTGTGTGTGTGTGTGTGTGTGTGTGTCTGACTTTTCTAATTTCTTTAAACAAAAAAAGAAAAGAAAAAAGAAACTGAAACTTATTTATTTATATTTATGGCTTTGGTTTTAAAAATACAAAATGGTTCATGAAAAATCATGTTATTTATAAAAAATATTGTAAGTAAGTAGCCTACCATTTTAATTCAACAAAATGTACAGTGGTGGTATTATGGTATCATATGGTAGTGCCATGATAGTTTAATATATAAAAAATAGTGCTGTCAAACGATTAATTGCGATTAATCGCATCCAAAATAAAATATTTTGTTTACATAATATGTGAGTGTGTACTGTGTATATTTATTATGTATATATAAATACACACATATGCATGTATATATTTAAGAAAAAATATGTTATGTTTATATTTTAAATATATTTATATATAATATAAATTATATGAATATAAATATATACAAGTAAATACATGTAAATATTTTTGAAACATGCTGTATTTGTATGTATTTCTATATACATAATAAATGTGCACAGTGCACACACATATATTATGTAAACAAACTTTTATTTTGGATGCGATTAATCGCAATTAATCGTTTGACAGCACTATTTTTTATATATTAAACTATCATGGCACTACCATATGATACCATAATACCACCACTGTACATTTTGTTAAATTAAAATGGTAGGCTACTTACTTACAATATTTTTTATAAATAACATGATTTTTCATGAACCATTTTGTATTTTTAAAACCAAAGCCATAAATATAAATAAATAAGTTTCAGTTTCTTTTTTCTTTTCTTTTTTTGTTTAAAGAAATTAGAAAAGTCAGACACACACACACACACACACACACACTATAATATGATACATTTAAAATGGCAGGTTGTCATAACACTGGCATCCTACAGTAGAGGTGTGTATATATATATATATATATATATATATAGCACTTCTTTATCAATATGTGATAGGAGTTAAATACAGTGAAATCATTACAGGCAACTATTGTCAGGATTTGACGTATCGGCAGACACAGCCAAATGACCCCTCTCTGTCTAATGTACTGTTCAATTGCGTCAGCCTTTCGCCCAGCCAGAATTAATAATAGAGCAATTAAAAGCAATGGGGATTTGAGTCCTCCTCTGACAATTACATCTGTTAAAGTTTGAGAGCATTAATGCCTAAAAATATTAATTAAAGTGATTGATTTGAATGTTAAAATTCTATTAAATACGAGTGGAGCGCTCAAATATCAGAGCTGATTAGAGACTGATTTTTGTAGTTGAGATGCTGATTCTCATTTACACATATTTAAAATGGAGGTAACACTTACACACACACAAAATCTATCATAATATACAACATTACATATTAAGTAACTGTTGGCTATAGTGGAACTTTGCTATTGTGGAATAAAAAAAAAAGTATATGAATCAAATGCACATATAGTGCATATTTTCTTCTTTGTATTTTTGAGAGTTCAAAGCACAAAGCCTCACATTTATTCTGCAAATAAGAGAGAAATCACAAAGCATGATTTAAGCAAACATTTATTTTTAAACTACCAGATTGTCACATGAAGCATGCTTCATCGTGCATAGACAAGCACAGTAAATGTTTCATGTA